GTGTGTGTGTATGTTGTGTGTGTATGATGCAGATAGGAAATTGATCTTATGGGGCATTACAGTGATTGATAATTTAAGATTGGGTGGGATGTGGCTTTTGTTGAGGGTGGGTTATTTAAAGAGTTAATCATTCTCTGTTATGTCTTGCCAAGCAGTGAGGGCAAAAAAAACATTGCAGGGTCATTTCTTAGTAGTTTGCATATAATTAGACAAAGGATACAGAAAGGTCATTCATTCCACAGCAGTGTGCCTGATTTTTACAAAGTCTGTGTCATGTCTTGGCCTATATTACCCCAAATTGATTTGTGTTCGGCAGATGCGTAAATGTTATAGAGGCCTACTGTGTACCTCTTCTGGCAGGGGATTTAAGTTCTGTATGCCTTGTCACATGAACACCTGCAGATGATCCTTACAGCACTACAGACCTATTAGTATATATGTTATGTATAAAGTAAAGAAAAGTTTATTTTCTACAACAGAATGAGAGACTTTCATTCTCAACTTTACCATATGCTCTTTCTTATACTTTGTAATTATTTTGACTGTCTTTGGAGAGTTATACTGTATGAAGTAAAAAAAACTAGTTCACTGTGAATTGTTTAATAAAAAGTGTTTTGTTTTTATAAATATTTTCATATTTTATTTCATTCATTTATCCTTAATAGTGATATACCACAGTACAGTAAAATCTGTTAATTGTTGTACAATACATTAGGAAATGTACTTCCTTACTAAGTGCACCCACACATATATATTGTTTTTTAGAGGACAGATAGGGCTATGTATTTATGTGTACCTAACGCCTCACTTAGGATAAATATAATATAAAAAAATTAGGAAAAAAACATAGAGAACACTTTTCTCCCAGTTTTGATTATTTTTTAGAAAAATAACACAGCTAAAAAAAAACAAAACAATAAAATAAATGTCTTTATTTGTCCTTTATTTAGAAACACCTCACTTCCCTAGGGTTTCAGACATATTTTTGTACTTCTCGGCCAAAAACTAACTTTTTTTTCTCTGTAAAAGCTAATAGTGGTCACCAAGTTAGACAGGTGGTATACAATGTCACTGTCACTAAGTATCACACTTAGTGACAGCGACACTTTGAACATTGCCATCATGAGGGGGTTACATTTAAAAAATTAACCCCTTAGGGTGAAAAACAAATCTGCAGCTCTGCTGCAGATTTTAATTGGAAGGGGTTAATTTTTAAAATATAGTATAAAGTATAAAAAATATATAAATATATAACATATTTTACACTACTTTTGTCAATTATATCAAGCAGTCACTATTAGTGCTTGATCATTTAATTATTTAACATTTTTTATTTATTATTAGGCTGCTCCAAACCTAGGAACAGCCAATAACCTTAGTGACACTGATTCCTGACATGCTGATTCTGCAGCATGTCAGGATTAGATGTCACTAAAGACTTCTGATCGATCCTAGTCTGATACAATGTTTAAAAATGTTGCTACAAGTTTCTATACTTCATAGGAAGTTGTAGCAAAAAAAAAAAAAGCCAGTACACAGGCTCTGTACAGAACTGTCAAATCTGTGATGGCAGAATGGCTCACACCACTCTGTTATCACTGTCTGATACACGGTCGCTGACAGAAATCCGGTATCTGTAAAAGCGTAATTCTTTAATGGATGCCTCAGTACTGATACTGATTCTCAGCGTTT